GTTTTGTTGAAGTCTATGGGTGGCGGTGTTCTTGAGTGGGTGGCGGTGTTGTTGAGTCTATGGGTGGCGGTGTTGTTGAGTCTATGGGTGGCGGTGTTGTTGAGTTTATGGCTGGCGGTATTGTTGATTCTATGGGTGGCGGTGTTGTTGAAGTCTATGGGTGGTGGTGTTGTTGTGTCTATGGGTGGCGGTGTTGTTGAGTCTATGGGTGGCGGTGTTGTTGAGTCTATGGGTTGCGGTGTTGTTGAGTCTATGGGTGGCGGTGTTGTTGAGTCTATGGGTGGCGGTGGTGTTGAGTCTATGGGTGGCCGTGTTGTTCAGTCTATGGGTGGTGGTGGTGTTGAGTCTATGGGTGGGGGTGTTGTTGAGTCTATGGGTGGCGGTGTTGTTGAGTCTATGGGTGGCGGTGTTGTTGAGTCTATGGGTGGCGGTGTTGTTGAGTCTATGGGTGGTGGTGTTGTTGATTCTATGGGTGGTGGTGTTGTTGAATCTATGGGTGGCGGTGTTGTTGAGTCTATGGGTGGCAGTGTTGTTGAGTCTATGAGTGGTTGTGTTGTTGAGTCTATGGTTGGCCGTGTTGTTGAGTCTATGGGTGGCGGTGTTGTTGAGTCTATGGGTGGCAGTGTTGTTGAGTCTATGGGTGGCGGTGTTGTTGATTCTATGGGTGGCGGTGTTGTTGAGTCTATGGGTGGCGGTGTTGTTGAGTCTATGGGTGGCGGTGTTGTTCAGTCTATGGGTGGCGGTGGTGTTGAGTCTATGGGTGGCGGTGTTGATGAGTCTATGGGTGGCAGTGTCGTTGAGTCAATGGGTGGCGGTGTTGTTGAAGTCTATGGGTGGCAGTGTTGTTGAGTCTATGGGTGGCGGTGTTGTTCAGTCTATGTGTGGCGGTGTTGTTGAGTCTATGGGTGGCGGTGTCTATGGGTGGCGGTGTTGTTGAGTCTATGGGTGGCGGTGTTGTTGAGTCTATGGGTGGCAGTGTTGTTGGAGTCTATGGGTGGCGGTGTTGTTCAGTCTATGGGTGCGGTGTTGTTGAGTCTATGTGTAGTCGGTGTTGTTGAGTCTATGGGTGGCGGTGTTGTTGTAGTCTATGGGTAGCGGTGTTGTTGAGTCTATGGGTGGCGGTGTTGTTGAATTCTATGGGTGGCGGTGTTGTTGAGTCTATGGGTGGCGGTGTTGTTGAGCTATGGGTGGCAGAGTTTTGTTGAGTCTATGGGTGGCGGTGTTGTTTGAGTCTATGGGTGGCGGTGTTGTTGAAGACTATGGGTGGCGGAGTTTGTTGAGTCTATGGGTGGCGGTGTTGTGAGTCTATGGGTGGCAGTGTTGTTGAGACTATGGGTGGCGGAGTTTGTTGAGTCTATGGGTGGCGGTGTTTGTTGAGTCTATGGGTGCAGTGTTGTTGAAGTCTAGGGTGGCGGTGTTGTTGAGTCTATGGGTGGCGGTGTTGTTGAGTCTATGGGTGGCGGAGTTTGTTGAGTCTATGGGTGGCGGTGTTGTTGAGTCTATGGGTGGCAGTGTTGTTGAAGTCTATGGGTGGCGGTGTTGTTGAGTCTATGGGTGGCAGTGTTGTTGAGTCTATGGGTGGCGGTGTTGTTGAGTCTATGGGTGGCAGTGTTGTTGAATCTATGGGTGGCGGAGTTGTTGAGTCTATGGGTGGCGGTGTTGTTGAGTCTATGGGTGGCGGTGTTGTTGAGTCTATGGGTGGCGGTGTTGTTGAGTCTATGGGTGGCGGTGTTGTTGATTCTATGGGTGGCGGTGTTGTTGAGTCTATGGGTGGCGGTGTTGTTGAGTCTATGGGTGGCAGTGTTGTTGAAGCCTATGGGTGGCGGTGTTGTTGAGTCTATGGGTGGCGGTGTTGTTGAAGTCTATGAGTGGCCGTGTTGTTGAGTCTATGGGTGGCGGTGTTGTTGAGTCTATGGGTGGCGGTGTTGTTGTGTCTATGGGTGGCGGTGTTGTTGATTCTATGGGTGGCAGTGTTGTTGAGTCTATTGGTGGCGGTGTTGTTGAGTCTATGGGTGGCAGTGTTGTTGAGTCTATGGGTGGCGGTGTTGTTCAGTCTATGGGTGGCGGTGTTGTTGTGTCTATGGGTGGTGGTGTGGTTGAGTCTATGGGTGGCGGTGTTGTTGTGTCTATGGGTGGTGGTGTGGTTGAGTCTATGGGTGGCGGTGTTGTTGATTCTATGGGTGGCAGTGTTGTTGTGTCTATGGTTGGTGGTGTTGTTGAGTCTATGGGTGGCAGTGTTGTTCAGTCTATGTGTGGCGGTGTTGTTTAGTCTATGGGTGGCGGTGTTTGTTTGAGTCTATGGGTTGCGGAGTTTGTTGAGTCTATGGGTGGCGGTGTTGATGAGTCTATGGGTGGCGTGTTGTTGAAAGCCTATGGGTGGCAGTGTTGTTGAGTTTATGGGTGGCGGTGTTGATGAGTCTTTGGGTGGCGGTGTTGTTGAGTCTATGGGTGGCGGTGTTGTTGAAGCCTATGGGTGGCGGTGTTGTTGAGTCTATGGTTGGCGGTGTTGTTGAGTCTATGGGTGGCGGTGTTGTTGAGTCTATGGGTGCCGGTGTTGATGAGTCTTTGGGTGGCGGTGTTGTTGAGTCTATGGGTGGCGGTGTTGTTGAGTCAATGGGTGGCGGTATTGTTGAGTCTATGGATGGGGGTGTTGTTGAGTGGGTGGCGGTGTTGTTGTGTCTATGGGTGGCGGTATTGTTGAGTCTATGGATGGGGGTGTTGTTGAGTCTAAGGGTGGCGGTGTTTCTGAGTCTATGGGTGGCAGTGTTGTTCAGTCTATGGGTTGCGGTGTTGCTGTGTCTATGGGTGGCGGTGTTGTTGAGTCTTTGGGTGGCGGTGTTGTTGAGTCTATGGGTGGCGGTGTTGTTGTGTCTATGGGTGGCGGTGTTGTTGAGTCTATGGGTGGCGGTGTTGTTGAGTCTATGGGTGGCGGTGTTGTTGAGTCTATGGGTGGCGGTGTTGTTGAGTCTATGGGTGGCGGTGTTGTCGAGTCTATTGGTGGTGGTGTTGTTGAGTCTATGGGTGGCGGTGTTGTTGAGTCTATGGGTGGCGGTGTTGTTGAATCTATTGGTGGCGGTGTTGTTGAGTCTATGAGTGGTTGTCTTGTTGAGTCTATGGGTGGCGGTGTTGTCGAGTCTATGGGTGGCGGTGTTGTTGAGTCTATGCGTGGCGGTGTTGTTGAGTCTATGGGTGGCGGTGTTGCTGAGTCTATGGGTGGCGGTGTTGTTGAGTCTATGGGTGGCGGTGTTGTTGAGTCTATGGGTGGCGGTGTTGTTTTGTCTATGGGTGGCGGTGTTGTTGAGTCTATGGGTGGCAGTGTTGTTGAGTCTATGGGTGGCAGTGTTGTTGAGTCTATGGGTGGCAGTGTTGTTGAGTCTATGGGTGGCGGTGTTGTTGTGTCTATGGGTGGCGGTGTTGTTGAGTCTATGGGTGGCGGTGTTGTTGAGTCTATGGGTGGCGGTGTTGTTGAGTCTATGGGTGGTGGTGTTGTTGAAGTCTATGGGTGGCGGTATTGTTGAGTCTATGGGTGGCGGTGTTGTTGAGTATATGGGTGGCGGTGTTGTTCAGTCTATGGGTGGCGGTGTTGTTGAGTCTATGGGTGGCGGTGTTGTTGAGTCTATGGGTGGCGGTGGTGTTGAGTCTATAGGTGGCGGTGTTGTTGAGTCTATGGGTGGCGGTGTTGTTGAGTCTATGGGTGGCGGTGTTGTTGAGTCTATGGGTGGTGGTGTTGTTGAAGTCTATGGGTGGCGGTGTTGTTGAGTCTATGGGTGGCGGTGTTGTTGAGTATATGGGTGGCGGTGTTGTTCAGTCTATGGGTGGCGGTGTTGTTGAGTCTATGGGTGGCGGTGTTGTTGAGTCTATGGGTGGCGGTGTTGTTGAGTCTATGAGTGGCAGTGTTGTTGAGTCTATGGGTGGCGGTGTTGTTGAGTCTATGGGTGGCGGTGTTGTTGAGTCTTTGGGTGGCGGTGTTGTTGAGTCTATGGGTGGCGGTGTTGTTGAGTCTATGGGTGGCGGTGTTGTTGAGTCTATGGGTGGCGGTGTTGTTGAGTCTATGGGTGGCGGTGTTGTTGAAGCCTATGGGTGGCGGTGTTGTTGAGTCTATGTGTGGCGGTGTTGATGAGTCTATGGGTGGTGGTGTTGTTGAGTCTTTGGGTGGCGGTGTTGTTGAGTCTATGGGTGGTGGTGTTGTTGAGTCTATGGGTGGCGGTGTTGTTGAGTCTATGGGTGGCAGTGTTGTTGAGTCTATGGGTGGCGGTGTTGTTGAGTCTATGGGTGGCGGTGTTGTTGAGTCTATGGGTGGCGGTGTTGTTGAGTCTATGTGTGGCGGTGTTGATGAGTCTATGGGTGGTGGTGTTGTTGAGTCTATGGGTGGCGGTGTTGCTGTGTCTATGGGTGGCGGTGTTGTTGTGTCTATGGGTGGCGGTGTTGTTGAGTCTTTGGGTGGCGGTATTGTTGTGTCTATGGGTGGCGGTGTTGTTGAGTCTTTGGGTGGCGGTATTGTTGTGTCTATGGGTGGCGGTGTTGTTGAGTCTATGGGTGGCGGTGTTGTTGAGTCTATGGGTGGCGGTGTTGTTGAGTCTATGGGTGGCGGTGTTGTTGAGTCTATGGGTGGCGGTGTTGTCGAGTCTATGGGTGGCGGTGTTGTTGAGTCTATGGGTGGCGGTGTTATTGAGTCTATGGGTGGCGGTGTTATCGAGTCTATGGGTGGCGGTGTTGTTGAGTCTATGGGTGGCGGTGTTGTTGAGTCTATGGGTGGCGGTGTTGTTGAGTCTATGGGTGGTGGTGTTGTTGAGTCTATGGGTGGCGGTGTTGTTCAGTCTATGGGTGGCGGTGTTGTTGAGTCTATGGGTGGCGGTGTTGTTGAGTCTATGGGTGGCGGTGTTGTTGAGTCTATGGGTGGCGGTGTTGTTGAGTCTATGGGTGGCAGTGTTGTTGAGTCTATCGGTGGCGGTGTTGTTCAGTCTATGGGTGGCGGTGTTGTTGAGTCTTCGTCCTTGCAGGGAGAGACGGAAGTCTCCGGGAGCCGATCCCCATGGACGAGTTGGGCCCCGACGCTTACTCCACCCTGGACAACACCGAGAGGGAGAGGAGAATCCTCGCGCCGGCTGGCAGGGTAACCACCACCACCACCACCACCACCACCCGCACAACAACAACAACAACCATCGCCACCACAAAACCAACCACCACTACCACAAAGACAAAGATCCCCCGTGTAGCCTGTAACAGACTGTTGGGGCAAGTGCTGTTAGCGAGCACACAGGCACACAGACACAGACAGACAGACACACATGCACACATACACACAACAACAACAACAACAACCGCCATTCGCCACTAAGTGGCGGTGACGTCACCACGACGCTTGTGCCAGGCTATGTGCACCCTGAGGCCACGTGAAGTGTCGAACGCCCGCTGGCAGGAGGTCACGGGGCAGACCCAGGTGCCACGGGTCGACTGACTGAGATGACTGGCTGATGCACCACCTGTGCCCCCTACTGTGCCAACCTGCTGTGCTTTAGCCACCCGGCGCTCCGCTCGCTGTTGTGAGCGTCGCTCCTCCGCCCTCCGTTGTTGTTGGAGGGCGACTGCCTCCAACTGCCCAGTAGCATCCTTCACGAGCCTCCTCCACAGAGGCCGATCTTGACACCGCTGGTACCAGTCATCGGCAAGTCCACTCAGCTCCACGTCCTCCTGTACCACATCACTCCATCTCTTCTCTAGCCCGTGCCGCGCCCGCTTAGCCCCCTCAATCCGGCCAAACAAAAGCTGTTTCGGCATGCGGTGGCTGGGCATGCGGGCTACATGACCCAGCCATCGCAGCCTTGCCTGCCGGAGGAGCTCACCGATGGGACCCTGCCCAGATCTTTCAAGGATTTGTGAGCTCCTCACACAATCCAGTCTGGTTAAACCCAGGATGGATCGTAGGCAGGCCAGCCTAAATGTTTCTAACCGGCGAAGATGTTCCATTAGGGGGGTCCACGTTTCGCAAGCGTAGAGAAGGGAGGGAATGACCGTGGCCGAGAAGACCTGAAGCTTAGTGCGGAGCGACAGACCAGGTAGCTTCCACACAGTGTTACGCAACCGATGAAAAGATATTGCCGCTCGACTGATTCGGAGTGAGACCTCTGCTGTTAAACTGGAGCCAGTCATAAGCACACTGCCCAGGTATGAGAAACTCTCCACTCTCTCCACAACTGCCCCATCACCGATTGGGAGTTGTGGGGGTGGAGTGTCCGATGGTACAAAATACCCAGGCAGGTGCTTAGTTTTGGTGGGGCTGATGGTAAGGCCCCACCTCTTAGTGGCACGCTCCAGTCTCAGCAGCAGCGTCTCCAACTCCTCCTCTGACTGAGCAGCTATTACCAAGTCATCAGCATACATAACGTGGTTGAGCAATAGGGAGCCATCCCTTGACCACACCCGGGCATCGATTAGCCTCCCATTATATCTGTACCATATGGAGATTCCCCCGGTACAGCTATTGAAGGCTTCACGAACTACGTGGTCAAAATAGATGTTAAATAATGTGGGAGCCAGAGGACATCCCTGTCGCACCCCAAGGTGTACAGGGAATGGCTCTGACTCCCGGCCACGTAGTTTTACCCGGGCCCGCTCACCATCATGAAGGTCCTTAATGATCGTGAGCAGAGGGTCAGGTACTCCAAAAGCACGAAGAACGACCCAGAGCCCAGGCCTACTGATGGTATCATAGGCCTTGACCAGGTCAATAAAGCAGAGATGTAGGTCTTGTTGGAATTCCCTACACCTCTGCTGTAGCAGACGGACAGAAAATATGGCATCTGTGCAGGACCGCCCTTTCCTGAAACCGCATTGGGGCTCCGCAAGCCTCTCCTCAGCGTGCCTGGCAAGGCGATGCTGAATAATCCTTGCCAGGACCTTTCCCGGCACACTGAGGAGTGAGATGCCCCTGTAGTTGTTACAGTCTGTGCGGTCCCCCTTCTTAAAAAGGGGGACCACCAGGGCATCCTTCCAATCCTGCGGAACCCGTCCAGTGGTCCAGACTGTTGTTATGATGTCATATAGGGCAGTCTGTGCACAAACGCCACCCTCCCTCAGCATTTCGCTTGGGAGATCATCTCTGCCCGCTGCCTTTCCTGGTCTCAGACTCCGGATCGCCTTCAATACTTCCTCAGCAGATGGCACCTCAGCCAGCCACTCACAGGGGGTGATTTCATCCAATATTTGAGGCACCGCAGCCTCAGCAGGGTCATCCTCACTTTGTGCCACGATGTTTTCCTGGCTGAGGGATTTTCCCTCCCCCAGGACCTCACAGAAATGCTCAGCAAATCTGCGAACCTGTTCCTGGGGGTCGGAAATTGGATCACCGTTTTTTCCCCTAATGATGGTAATAGGTGTGGCGCTGCAGGTTACTTTTTTGATGGAGTTAAATAGAGATTTGTGATCACGGGCCACTGAGGCAGACTCCATCTCCTCAGCAAACCCGCGACCACCACCCATCCTTGCAGCGCCTCACGGCTCTCCGAACCTCCGAGCGAAGGCTGCGGTAAGCCTCCTCATTCTCTGACGTGGGATTCTGTAGCCGATGACAGTGGGCCTGTCGCTTTTTCTCAACCATCGTGAACAACTCCTCTGTCATCCAGGGTGTCTGGGGAGGTCTGGACCGCGTACCCAAAGCAGCCATTGCAGCTGCATGAGTCACAGTCCTAAACCTCGCCCATTTACCCTCGACATCAGGAGGAGTCGGGGACGATGCCAATCCCAGCCGCAAGCGATGATGAAATTCTCGCTTGCAACTTTCATCAGATAACTGAGACCAGGCCACTTTAGGTTGGAATGGGGTCCTGGGTGTACACCCACCACCGGAGTGGAAGAATGGCAGGCGCATCTTACAGATGACTAGTCGATGGTCAGAGGGCAGATCAGCTCCACGGTAGGTCCTGGTGTCAAGGACATGGGCTCGCATTCGCTGGTCCGTCACTATGTAGTCCAGCAGATGTTCTTGCTTGGACCCGGCATGCATCCATGATGTTGTGTGGATGCGCCGATGCCGGAACAGCGTGTTGGTAATTACAAGCCCATGGGCTGCACAAAAATCTAGCAGCCTCCTACCGTTGTTATTGAGCTGATCTGGCCCATGCCCTCCAATCACTCCAGACCAGGTGCCAGTATCATGACCAACTCGGGCATTGAAGTCACCCAACATGATGACTCTATCCCGAGGGGCCACTTTAGCCAGCACCTGTGACAGGAGGTCATAGAAGGCATCTGACTCATCGGCTTTGCCTGCATCCCTCCACGGATGTTCATCTTCGGTGGGGGCATAAGTAACCACAACCACCATTCCTCACCTCCGGTTGATGGGAAGGCGAGCCCAAAGTAGCCTGGGGCTTACAGCTTCCCACACCTCACCGCCACGCTCCCACGCCCCCTTCATTCTTTTGTTCAAAAGAAGACCCACACCCTGTTGTTTGGCAGTCTGCTGCCCCGAGTAGAGGACTGTCCACCCCTCATGGTGGCAGGAGCCAGAGCCGGTCCACCGGACCTCCTGAATGCCGCATAGATCCAGGCGGTACCGGTCCAGCTCCCGACAGAGGAGTGGCAGCCTCTCGTCTGCAGTGAGCGTTCGAACATTCCACGTGGCCAACCGTAGTGGCTTTTCGTTGTTTCTGGAGTAGCCCCGAGGGTAGGTATTCAATCTCCTGGCTCCGCCAATTGGGGTTTGGCCAGGAGACGTCATAGACGCCTGGCCCCCCGGGGCCTCCGGCACAAGCTTAGTTGTTACATATTTCAGTTTAATTCGTAGTTTCGTGGTAATTAATTGAAGGTGGAGGGGTTACCAGCCCCTCGCACCCGTCCAGAGCCCCCGTTTAGCCCCTGTGGTGGACACATATGCCATGAGGGGAGGAGCCAATCAAAATTGGATCTCCCCCCACAGCGCTGTCCACGACAGAGTTGCCCGTCCGGCACCGCGAGGAGGTAGGGGGTTGTTTTGCCGGACTACACACACTCACATACACACATACAACCACACAACCACAGACCCACACAGACACACTCACTCACAGACTCACTCACAGACACACATACACGCACAGATACATACACACAGACACACACACAAATACACACACTCACACACAGACTCACTCACACACAGACAGACACACAGGCACACACACAGACACACATACACACACTCACACACAGACTCACTCACACACAGACAGACACACAGACAGACACACAGACACACACACAGACACACATACACAGACACACACACACAGACACACACAGACACAGACAGACTCACTCACGCCAAAAAAAAGACAAAGATCCCCCATATAGCCTTAACAGACTGTAGGGGCAAGTGCTGTTGGCGAGCACCTATGAAGGCCGGCACGGCACACGAGGGGGTGGGTGGCCAGCACGACGCCCGACCGCCTTTGTCTCCCCAGTGGCGATGTTTACACACTGCACCAGTTCATCGTTTCAGGCTGAGTCAACCTAGGGGATGGCCCATGACCGGTTCAGATAATCGTCACTGGTGTTGGCCGTGAGCGGGAATCGAACCCGGGTCGCCAGGTTCATAGCGCAGCGTAGCGCTAACCGCTACACCCACCGCTCCTCACCCACTCACTCACTCGTGCATACCAAGCGAGGTAGTTAACATCTCACCACTTGGAGAAGGATGCAGACTACAAATATACAGCAGCAGGCGTAGGTCAGGGTCTGGGATCGAACCCACGACCTCCTGTGTACCAGGCGAGGTAGTAAACATCTCTAGGGAGAGAGAGAGACGCAGACTCCATGTAAACATCAGCAGGCGTAGGTCAGGGTCTGGGATCGAACCCACGACCTCCTGTATACCAGGCGAGGTAGTCAACATCTCTCCCGAGAGAGAGACGCAGACTCCACATATACAGCAGCAGGCGTGGGTCAGGGTCTGGGATCGAACCCACGACCTCCTGCGTACCAGGCGAGGTAGTCAACATCTCTACATAGAGAGAGAGAGACGCAGACTCAAAATAAACATCAGCAGGCGTAGGTCAGGGTCTGGGATCGAACCCACGACCTCCTGTATACCAGGCGAGGTAGTCAACATCTCTCCCGAGAGAGAGACGCAGACTCCAAATATACAGCAGCAGGCATCAGTCAGGGTCCGGGATCGAACCCACGACCTCCTGTGTACCAGGTGAGGTAGTCAACATCTCTACGGAGAGAGAGAGACGCAGACTCCAAGGAGCAGGCGTGGGTCAGGGTCCGGGATCGAACCCACGACCTCCTGTAGACCAGGCGAGGTAGTCAACATCTCTTCGGAGAGAGAGAGAGAGACGCAAACTCCAAATAAACATCAGCAGGCATCGGCCAGGGTCCAGGATCGAACCCACGACTTCCTGTGTGCCGGGCGAGGTAGTCAACATCTCTACGGAGAGAGAGACGCAGACTCCAAATATACAGCAGCAGGCGTAGGTCAGGGTCCGGGATCAAACTCACGACCTCCTGTGTACCTTGCGAGGTAGTCAACATCTCTACATAGAGAGACGCAGACTCAAAATATACAGCAGCAGGCATCGGCCAGGGTCCAGGATCGAACTCACGACTTTCTGTGTACCATGCGAGGTCGTTGACATCTCTCCCGAGAGAGAGACACATACTCCAAATAAACATCAGCAGGCGTGGGTCAGGGTCTCGGATTGAACTCACGTCTTCCTGTGAACCAGGTGAGGTAGTCAACATCTCTACGGAGAGAGAGAGAGAGACGCAGATTCCAAATATACAGCAGCAGGCTAAGGTCAGGGTCTGGGATCGAACCCACGACCTCCTGTGTAGCAGGCGAGGTAGTCAACATCTCTACAGAGAGAGAGAGATGCAGATTCCAAATATATAGCAGCCGGCGTGGGTCAGGGTCTTGGATTGAACCCAGGACCTCCTGTGTACCAGGCGAGGTAGTCAACATCTCTTCGGAGAGAGAGAGACTCAGACTCCACATATACAGCAGCAGGCGTGGGTCAGGGTCTGGGATCGAACCCACGACCCCCTGCATACCACGCGAGGTAGTCAACATCTCTATGGAGAGAGACAGACGCAGACTCCAAGGAGCAGGCGTGGGTCAGGGTCCGGGATCGAACCCACGACCTCCTGTGTACCAGGCGAAGTAGTCAACATCTCTACGGAGAGACAGAGACGCAGACTCCAAATATATAGCAGCAGGCGTAGGTCAGGGTCTGGGATCGAACCCATGCCCTCCTGTGTACCAGGCGAGGTAGTCAACATCTCTACGAATAGAGACGCAGACTCCACATACAGCAGCAGGCGTGGGTCAGGGTCCGGGATCGAATCCACGACCTCCTGTGAACCAAGCGAGGTAGTCAACATCTCTACGGAGAGAGAGAGAGACGCAGATTCCAAATATATAGCAGCAGGCGTAGGTCAGGGTCTGGGATCGAACCCACAACCTCCTGTGTACCAGGGGAGGTCGTCAACATCTCTCCCGAGAGAGAGACTCAGACTCCACATATACAGCAGCAGGCGTGGGTCAGGGTCTGGGATCGAACCCACGACCTCCTGTGTACCAGGCGAGGTAGTCAACATCTCTACGGATAGAGACGCAGACTCCACATACAGCAGCAGGCGTGGGTCAGGGTCCGGGATCGAACCCACGACCTCCTGCGTACCAGGCGAGGTAGTCAACATCTCGCTCCCTTCTGCCCTGCCCTCTCTGTGCCCACTCAGACTGGGACCGCCCAGAGGGGAGGAGCTCCGGCTGGCTCCGCCCCTTCCCTGCGCCTAGGCCGCACCCGCCCAGCGGGGGGCGGAGACTCGTGGGTGTGAGCAACCCTCAACACCCCCCACCCACGCGTTCACCTCACCTGGTGAGAATCCCACAACTCTGTCGGGAGCTGGACCTCTGTGGTGTGACGGAGGGTCCCGTGGACTGGTTCCGGAGCTTAGACGGAGAGGCTGCCACTCCTCCGTCGGCAGCTAGACCGGTACCGCCGGGACGTCAGTGGTGTGGCGGAGGGTCCGGTGGACTGGTTCCGGAGCTTAGACGGAGAGGCTGCCACTCCTCCGTCGGCAGCTAGACCGGTACCGCCGGGACCTCTGTGGTGTTCGCGGAGGGTCTGGTGGACTGGTTCTGGTGTGAGTGTGTTCAGATGGAGAGGCTGCCACTCCTCTGTCGGCAGCTAGACCGGTACCGCCGGGACCTCTGTGTTGTGACGGAGGGTCTGGTGGACTGGTTCCGGTGTGAGTGTGTTCAGACGGAGAGGCTGCCACTCCTCCGTCGGCAGCTAGACCGGTACCGCCTGGATCTCTGTTGTCTAACGAGTGTCTGGTGGACTGTTTCTGGTGTGAGTGTGTTTATAGGAGAGGCTGCCACTCCTCTGTCGGCAGCTAGACCGGTACCGCCTGCCCCTCTGTGGTGTGACAGAGGGTCTGGTGGACTGGTTCTGGTGTGAGTGTGTTTAGACGGAGAGGCTGCCACTCCTCTGTCGGCAGCTAGACCGGTACCGCCGGGACCTCTGTGGTGTGATGGAGGGACCGGTGGACTGGTTCTGGTGTGAGTGTGTTTTAGACGGAGAGGCTGCCACTCACCTGTCGGCAGCTAGACCGGTACCGCCTGGATCTCTGTTGTCTAACGAGTGTCTGGTGGACTGTTTCTGGTGTGAGTGTGTTTAGACCGAGAGGCTGCCACTCCTCTGTCTTCAGCTAGACTGGTACCGCCAGCACCTCTGTGGTGTGACGGAGGGTCCGGTGGACTGGTTCTGGTGTGAGTGTGTTCAGATGGAGAGGCTGCCACTCCTCTGTCGGCAGCTAGACTGGTACCGCCTGCACCTCTGTGTTGTGACGGAGGGTCCGGTGGACTGGTTCCGGTGTGAGTGTGTTCAGACGGAGAGGCTGCCACTCCTCTGTCGGCAGCTAGACCGGTACCGCCTGCCCCTCTGTCGTGTGACAGAGGGTCTGGTGGACTGGTTCTGGTGTGAGTGTGTTCAGATGGAGAGGCTGCCACTCCTCTGTCGGCAGCTAGACCGGTACCGCCTGCCCCTCTGTCGTGTGACAGAGGGTCTGGTGGACTGGTTCCGGTGTGAGTGTGTTCAGATGGAGAGGCTGCCACTCCTCTGTCGGCAGCTAGACTGGTACCGCCTGCACCTTTGTGTTGTGACGGAGGGTCCGGTGGACTGTTTCTGGTGTGAGTGTGTTCAGACGGAGAGGCTGCCACTCCTCTGTCGGCAGCTAAACCGGTACCGCCAGCACCTCTGTGTTGTGACGGAGGGTCTGGTGGACTGGTTCCGGTGTGAGTGTGTTTAGACGGAGAGGCTGCCACTCCTCTGTCGGCAGCTAGACCGGTACCGCCTGCCCCTCTTTGGTGTGACAGAGGGTCTGGTGGACTAGTTCCGGTGTGAGTGTGTTCAGACGGAGAGGCTGCCACTCCTCTGTCGGCAGCTAAACCGGTACTGCCTGCACCTCTGTGGTGTGACGGAGGGTCCGGTGGACTGTTTATGGTGTGAGTGTGTTCAATGGAGAGGCTGCCACTGCTCTGTCGGCAGCTAGACCGGTACTGCCAGAACTTCTGTGGTATATAGGAGGGTCCGGTGGACTGGTTCTGGCTGCTGCCACCATGAGGGGTGGACAGTCCTCTAATCGGGGCAGGAGACTGCCAAACAAAGAATGAAGGGGGCGTGGGAGCGTGGCAGTGAGTTGTGGGAAGCTGTAAGCCCCAGGCTACTGTGGGCTCGCCTTCCCATCAACCGGAGGCGAGTAGTGGTGGTCGTGGTTTCTTATGCCCCCACCGAAGATGAACATCAGTGGACGGATGTTGGCAAGGCCGATGAGTCAGACTGCCTTCTATGACCTCCTGTCACAGGTGCTGGCTAAAGTGGCACCTCGGGATAGAGTCATCTTGTTGGGTGACTTCAATGCCCGAATTTGTTATGATGCTGGCACCTGGTCTGGAGTGATTGGAAGGCATGGGCCAGATCAGCTCAATAACAACGGTAGGAGGCTGCTAGATTTTTGTGCAGCCCATGGGCTTGTAATTACGAACACGCTTCTCTGGCATCGGCGCATCCACACAACATCATGGATGCATACCGGGTCCAAGCAAGAACATCTGCTGGACTACGTAGTGACGGACCAGCGGATGCGGGCCCATGTCCTTGACACCAGGACCTACCGTAGAGCTGATCTGCCCACTGACCATCGACTTGTCACCTGTAAGATGTGCCTGCCATTCTTCCACTCCAGTGATGGGTGTACACCCAGGACCCCATTAAAACCCATAGTGGCCTGGTCTCAGTTATCTGATGAAAGATGCAAGCGAGAATTTCATCATCGCCTGCGGCTGGGATTGGCATCGTTCCCGACTGCTCCTGATGTCGAGGGTAAATGGGCGAGGTTTAGGACTGTGACTCATGCGGCTGCAATGTCTGCTTGGGGTACGTGGCCCAGACCTCCCCAGAGACCCTGGCTGACAGAGGAGGTGTTCAAGCTGGCAAAGAAAATGCAACAGGCCCACTCTAATCGTCTAGAAGCATCCCACGTCAGAGAATGAGGAGGCTTCCCGCAGCCTTCGCTCGGAGGGTCGGAGAGCTGTGAGGCGCTGCAAGGATGGGTGGTGGTCGCGGGTTGCTGAGGAGATGGAGTCTGCCTCAGTGGCCCACAATCACAAATAACTCGCTAACTTTGTCAAAAAAAGTAACTGGCAGTGGCACACCAATCACCATCATTATGCGAAAGAAAGTTGATCTGATATCCGACCCCCAGGAACAGGTTTGCAGATTTATGTGAGGTCTGGGGAGTGGGGAAATCCCTCTGCCTGGAAAACATCGTGGCACAAAGTGAGGATGACCGTGCTGAGGCTGCGGTGCCTCAAATATTGGACGAAGTCACCCCCTGTGAGTGGCTGGCTGAAGTGCCATCTGTTGAGGAAGTACTGAAGGCGATCCAGAGTCTGAGACCAGAAAGGCACCGGGCAGAGATGATCTCCCAAGCGAAATGCTGAGGGAGGGTGGCGTTTGTGCACAGACTGCCCTATATGACATCATAACAACGGTCTGGACCACTGGACGGGTTCCGCAGGATTGGAAGGATGCCCTGGTGGTCCCCCTCTTTAAGAAGGGGGACCGCACAGACTGTAACAACTACAGGGGCATCTCACTCCTCATTGTGCAGGGAAAGGTCCTGGCAAGGATTATTCAACATCGCCTTGCCAGGCACGCTGAGGAGAGGCTTGCGGAGCCTCAATACGGTTTCAGGAAAGGGCGGTCCTGCACAGATGCCATATTTCCGTCTGTCTGGTACAGCAGAGATGTAGGGAATTCCAACAAGACCTACATCTCTGCTTTATTGACCTGGTCAAGGCCTATGATACCATCAGTAGGCCTGGGCCCTGGGTTGTTCTTCGTGCTTTCGGAGTGCCTGACCCTCTGCTCACGATCATTAAGGACCTTCATGATGGTGAGCTGGCCCGGATAAAACTACGTGGCCGGGAGTCGGAGACATTCCCTGTTCACCTTGGGGTGCGATAGGGATGTCCTCTGTCTCTCACATAATTTAACATCTATTTCGACCACGTAGTTCGTGAAGCCTTCAATAGCTGTGCCGGGGGAATCTCCATATGGTACAGATATAATGGGAGGCTGATCGATGCCCGGGTGCGGTCAAGGGATGGCTCCCTATTGCTCAACCACGTTATGTATGCCGATGATCTGGTAATTGCCGCTCACTCGAACGAGGAGTTGGAGGCACTGCTGTTGAACCTGGAGCTTGCCACTAAGAGGTGGGGCCTTACCATCAGCCCCACCAAAACTAAGCACCTGCCTGGGTATTTTGTACCATCAGACACTCCACTCCACAACTCCAAATTCATGTTGGGGCAGTTGTGGAGAGAGTGGAGAGTTTTCCAAACCTGGGCAGTGTGCTAATGACCGGCTCCAGTTTAACAGCAGAGGTCTCTCTCCGAATCAGCCGAGCGGCAATATCTTTTCATTAGTTGCATAACGTTGTGTGGAAGCTACCTGGTCTGTCACTCGGCACTAATCTTCAGGTCTTCTCGGCCACGGTCATTCCCTTCCTTCTCTACGCTTGCGAAACATGGACCCCCTTAATGGAGCATCTTCGCCGGATGGAACCGTTTAGGCTGGCCTGCGTACGATCCATCCTGGGTTTAACCAGGCTGGATTGTGTGAGGAGCTCACAAATCCTTGAAAAATCTGGGCAAGGTCCCATTGGTGAGCTCCTCCGGCAGGCAAGGCTGCGTTGGCTGGGTCATGTAGCCCACATGCCCAGCCACCGCATGCCGAAACAGCTTTTGTTCGGCCGGATCGAGGGAGCTAAACGGGCGCGGCACGGGCTAGAGAAGAGATGGAGTGATGTGGTGCAGGAGGACATGGAGCTGAGTGGACTTGCCGATGACTGGTACCAGCGGTGTCAAGATCGGCCTCTGTGGAGGAGGCTCGTGAAGGACACTACTGGGTAGTTGGAGGCGGTCGCCCTCCAACAACAACGGAGGGCGGAGGAGCGACGCTCACAACAACGAGTGGAGCGCCGGGTGGCTAAAGCACAGCAGGTTGGCACAATAGGGGCACAGGTGGTGCATCAGCCAGTCATCTCAGTCAGTCGACCCGTGGCACCTGCTGGGTCTGCCCTGTGACCTCCTGCCAGCGGGCGTTCGACACTTCACGTGGCCTCAAGGTGCACATGGCCTGGCACAAGCGTCATGGTGACGTCACCGCCACTTAGTGGCGAATGGCGGTTGTTGTTGTTGTGTGTGTACACGTGTGTGTGTGTGTGTGTACACATGTGTTAGTGTGTACACGTGTGTAAGTGTGTATGTGTGTCTGTGTCTTCACAGGATTTGGCTGATGGGTGATGGAGTTAGCGGAGGAAAACAATCAGGAGCTGTCAAGCGAGATGCTGATGTTAACTATGATGCTGATGTGGTGATGATAATGGTGATGATGGTGATGATGGTGATGATGATGGTGATGATGATGGTGATGATGATGTTAACTATGATGCTGATGAAGGTCATGATGATGATGCTGATGATGGCTATGATGATGTTGATGGTGATGATGATGTTGATGGTGATGATGATGGTGATAATGATGATGTTGATGATGGTGATGATGATGGCCATAATGATGCTGATGATGGTAATGATGATGATGCTGATGATGGCTATGATTCTGATTATGATGCGTATGATGATGTTGATGATGCTGATAATGGCTATGATGATGATGCTGATGATGGCTATGATTCTGATTATGATGCGTATGATGATGTTGATGATGCTGATGATGGCTATGATGATGATGCTGATGATGGCTATGATTCTGATTATGATGCGTATGATGATGTTGATGATGCTGATGATGGCTATGATGATGATGCTGATGATGCCTATGATTCTGATGATGATGCGTATGATGATGTTGATGATGCTGATGATGGCTATGCTGATGATGCTAATGATGCCTATGATTCTGATGATGATGCGTATGATGATGAGGGTTCTGATGAGATCAATACACAAAGTAATTCTCACGAGGACAGGGAAACAGAGAGACACGGTGGACACAGAGACACGGGCACACATCTGATTTTAAAATGTTGCTGGTCTGAAGATGATGGTGGTTTTAAGATGATTGTTGTTTAAGATGTAACTGGTTTAAGATGAGCTGGTTTAAGATGATTGTGGTTTAAGATGTAGCTGGTTTAAGATGAGCTGGTTTAAGATGATTGTGGTTTAAGATGTAGCTGGTTTAAGATGTAGCTGGTTTAAGATGATTGTGGTTTAAGGTGTAGCTGGTTTAAGATGAGCTGGTTTAGGATGATTGTGGTTTAAGATGTAGCTGGTTGAAGATGATTGTGGTTTAAGATGTAGCTGGTTTAAGATGTAGCTGGTTGAAGATGATTGTGGTTTAAGATGCAGCTGGTTTAAGATGTAGCTGGTTTAAGATGTAGCTGGTTTAAGATGATTGTGGTTTAAGATGTGGCTGGTTTAAGATGAGCTGGTTTAAGATGATTGTGGTTTAAGATGTAGCTGGTTTAAGATGATTGTGGTTTAAGATGATTGTGGTTTAAGATGTAGCTGGTTTAAGATGTAGCTGGTTCAAGATGTAGCTGGTTTAAGATGTAGCTGGTTTAAGATGATTGTGGTTTAAGATGATTGTGGTTTAAGATGTAGCTGGTTTAAGATGTAGCTGGTTTAAGATGTAGCTGGTTTAAGATGAGCTGGTTTAAGATGATTGTGGTTTAAGATGTAGCTGGTTTAAGATGAGCTGGTTTAGGATGATTGTGGTTTAAGATGTAGCTGGTTGAAGATGATTGTGGTTTAAGATGTAGCTGGTTTAAGATGTAGCTGGTTGAAGATGATTGTGGTTTAAGATGTAGCTGGTTTAAGATGTAGCTGGTTTAAGATGTAGCTGGTTTAAGATGATTGTGGTTTAAGATGTGGCTGGTTTAAGATGAGCTGGTTTAAGATGATTGTGGTTTAAGATGTAGCTGGTTTAAGATGATTGTGGTTTAAGATGTAGCTGGTTTAAGATGTAGCTGGTTTAAGATGTAGCTGGTTCAAGATGTAGCTGGTTTAAGATGTAGCTGGTTTAAGATGATTGTGGTTTAAGATGATTGTGGTTTAAGATGTAGCTGGTTTAAGATGTAGCTGGTTTAAGATGTAGCTGGTTTAAGATGAGCTGGTTTAAGATGATTGTGGTTTAAGATGTAGCTGGTTTAAGATGAGCTGGTTTAAGATGATTGTGGTTTAAGATGTAGCTGGTTTAAGATGATTGTGGTTTAAGATGTAGCTGGTTTAAGATGAGTCTGGTTTAAGATGTAGCTGGTTTAAGATGATTGTGGTTTAAGATGTAGCTGGTTTAAGATGATTGTGGTTTATGATGTAGCTGGTTTAAGATGATTGTGGTTTAAGATGTAGCTGGTTTAAGATGTAGCTGGTTTAAGATGTAGCTGGTTTAAGATGAGTCTGGTTTAAGATGAGTCTGGTTTAAGATGTAGCTGGTTTAAGATGATTGTGGTTTAAGATGTAGCTGGTTTAACATGTAGCTGGTTTAACATGTAGCTGGTTTAAGATGATTGTGGTTTAAGATGTAGCTGGTTCAAGATGAGTCTGGTTTAAGATGTAGCTGGTTTAAGATGATTGTGGTTTAAGATGTAGCTGGTTTAAGATGTAGCTGGTTTAAGATGTAGCTGGTTTAAGATGATTGTGGTTTAAGATGTAACTGGTTTAAGATGATTGTGGTTTAAGATGTAGCTGGTTTAAGATGTAGCTGGTTTCAGATGTAGCTGGTTTAAGATGCAGCTGGTTTAAGATGTAGCTGGTTTAAGATGATTGTGGTTGAAGATGATTGTGGTTTAAGATGTAGCTGGTTTAAGATGATTGTGGTTTATGATGTAGCTGGTTTAAGATGATTGTGGTTTAAGATGTAGCTGGTTTAAGATGATTGTGGTTGAAGATGATTGTGGTTTAAGATGTAGCTGGTTTAAGATGTAGCTGGTTTAAGATGTAGCTGGTTTAAGATGCAGCTGGTTTAAGATGTAGCTGGATTAAGATGATTGTGGTTTAAGATGATTGTGGTTTAAGATGTAGCTGGTTTAAGATGTAGCTGGTTTAAGATGATTGTGGTTTAAGATGTAGCTGGTTTAAGATGATTGTGGTTTAAGATGTATCTGGTTTAAGATGTAGCAGGTTTAAGATGTAGCTGGTTTAAGATGTAGCTGGTTTAAGATGATTGTGGTTTAAGATGTAGCTGGTTTAAGATGTAGCTGGTTTAAGATGATTGTGGTTTAAGATGTAGCTGGTTTAAGATGATTGTGGTTTAAGATGTAGCTGGTTTAAAATGTAGCTGGTTTAAGATGATTGTGGTTTAAGATGTAGGTGGTTTAAGATGTAGCTGGTTTAAGATGTAGCTGGTTTAAGATGAGTCTGGTTTAAGATGTAGCTGGTTTAAGATGTAGTTGGTTTTAAAATGATTCTGGTTTAAGATGTAGCTGGTTTAAGATGATTTTGGTTCAAGATGTAGCTTGTTTAAGATGATTTTCGCTTAAGATATAGCTGGTTTAAGATGCAGCTGGTTTAAGATGTAGCTTGTTTAAGATGATTGTGGTTTAAGATGTAGCTGGTTTAAGATGTAGCTGGTTTACGATGATTGTGGTTTAAAATCTAGCTGGGTTTAAGATGATTGCGGTTTAGAATCTAACTGGTTTTAAAATAATTCTGGTTCAAGATGTAGCTGGTCGTAATATGAGCCCAGTTTAAGATGAGCCTGATTTGAAATACATCTGGGTTTAAGATGACTCTGTTTTAAGATGAAGAAAGTTTTCAAATGAGCCCGGGTTTAAGATGTAGCTGGGTTTAAAATGATTCTGGTTTAGAATTTATCTGGGTTTAAGATGAGCCTGGTTTAAGATCTAACTGTGTTTACTATGAGCCCACAGTGAAATAAGCTGGGTTTACTATGTGGTGGGTGGGAAGAGTATGGGGTGAGTGGGTAGATCGCAGGGTTTTCGTTTTGTACCACACACACTCGCACACTCACTCACCCACTCACTCACTCACCCACTCATACACTCACTCACCTACTCACTCACCTACTCACCCACTCACTCACCCACTCACTCACCCACTCACTCACTCACCTACTCACTCACCTACTCACCCACTCACTCACCCACTCACTCACCCACTCACTCACTCACCTACTCACTCACCTACTCACCCACTCACTCACCCACTCACTCACCCACTCACTCACTCACCTACTCACTCACCTACTCACCCACTTACTCACCCACTCACTCACCCACTCACTCACCTACTCAGTCACCTACTCACCCACTCACTCACCCACTCATACACTCACTCACCTACTCACTCACCTACTCACTCACCCACTCACCCACTCACTCACCCACTCACTCAATCACCTACTCACTACACTCACCCAATGAGATACTTACCCACTCACCCGCTCACCTACTCACTCAATAACACACTCACCCACTCACCTACTCACCTACTCACTCACTAACCCACTCATACACTAACTCACTCATTCACCCACGCACTGACTCACCCACTCACTCACACACACACACTCACCCACTCACTCACCCACTCGTACACTCACTCACTAACCCACTCACCCACTCACTCACACGCTCAATCACACACACACTCACCCACTCACATACTCACCCACCCACTCAGACTCACTCACCTACTCACTCACCCACTCATACACTCACTCATTCACCCACTCACTCACATGCTCAATCACAAACACACTCACCCACGCACACACTCACCCACTCAGACTCACTCACTAACCTAATCACTCACCCACTCATACACTCACTCATTCACCCACTCACTCACACGCTCAATCACACACACACTCACCCACTCATACACTCACTCACTCATACACTCACTCGCTAACCCACTCACCCACTCAGACACTCACTCACTCACCTACTCATAAAATCACCCACTCACCCACTCGCCAACTCACACACTCACCCACTCAGACTCACTCACTCATTCACCTACTCACTCACTCACCTACTCACCCACTTACTCACCCACTCACTCACCCACTCACTCACCTACTCAGTCACCTACTCACCCACTCACTCACCCACTCATACACTCACTCACCTACTCACTCACCTACTCACTCACCCACTCACCCACTCACTCACCCACTCACTCAATCACCTACTCACTACACTCACCCAATGAGATACTTACCCACTCACCCGCTCACCTACTCACTCAATAACACACTCACCCACTCACCTACTCACCTACTCACTCACTAACCCACTCATACACTAACTCACTCATTCACCCACGCACTGACTCACCCACTCACTCACACACACACACTCACCCACTCACTCACCCACTCGTACACTCACTCACTAACCCACTCACCCACTCACTCACACGCTCAATCACACACACACTCACCCACTCACATACTCACCCACCCACTCAGACTCACTCACCTACTCACTCACCCACTCATACACTCACTCATTCACCCACTCACTCACACGCTCAATCACACACACACTCACCCACTCATACACTCACTCACTCATACACTCACTCGCTAACCCACTCACCCACTCAGACACTCACTCACTCACCTACTCATAAAATCACCCACTCACCCACTCGCCAACTCACACACTCACCCACTCAGACTCACTCACTCATTCACCTACTCACTCACTCACCTACTCATACACTCACTTGCAAACCCACTCACCCACTCAGGCACTCACTCACTCATTCACCTACTCAGTCACTCACCCACTCAGACTCACTCACACTCACTCATTCACCTACTCACTCACCTACTCATAAACTCACCGACTCACCCACTCGCCTACTCACACACTCACACACTCAGACTCACTCACACTCACTCATTCACCTACTCACTCATTCACCTACTCACTCACTCACCTACTCATAAACTCACCCACTCACACACTCACCCACTCAGACTCACTTACTCACCTATTCACTCACCCACTCATACACTTACTCGCTAACCCACTCACCCACTCAGACACTCACTCACTCATTCACTCACTCACTCACCTACTCATAAACTCACCCACTCACCCACTCGCCCACTCACACACTCACCCACTCAGACTCACTCACACTCACCCATTCACCTACTCACTCATTCACCTACTCACTCACTCACCTACTCATAAACTCACCCACTCACCCACTCGCCCACTCACACACTCACCCACTCAGACTCACCCATTCACCTACTCACTCACCTACTCATACACTCACTCGCTAACCCACTCACCCACTCACACACTCACCCACTCAGACTCACCCATTCACCTACTCACTCACTCACCTACTCATACACTCACTCGCTAACCCACTCACCCACTCACACACTCACCCACTCAGACTCACTCACTCACCTATTCACTCACCCACTCATACACTCACTCGCTATCCCACTCACCCACTCAGACACTCACTCATTCACCTACTCACTCACTCACCCACTCAGACTCACTCACCTACTTACTCACCCACTCATACACTCACTCACTCATTCACCCACTCACTCACACGCTCAATCACACATACACTCACCCACTCATACACTCACCTACTTACACACTCACCCACTCAGACTCACTCACTCACCCACTCATTCACTCACTCGCTAACCCACTCAGACACTCACTCATTCACCTACTCACTCACTCACTCACCTACTCATAAAATCACTCACTCACCCACTCACTCACTCATTCACCTACTCACTCACTCAAACACCCACTCAGACTCACTCACACTCACTCATTCACCTACTCACTCACTCACCTACTCATACACTCACTCGCTAACCCACTCACCCACTCACTCAGACACTCACCCACTCATTCACCTACTCAATCACTCACCCACTCAAACTCGCTCACACTCACCCACTCGCCTACTCACCCACACTCACCCACTCAAACTCGCTCACACTCACCCACTCGCCTACTCACCCACACTCACCCACTCAGACACTCACTCACACTCACCCATTCACCCACCCATCCGTGCACCCACTTACACACACACAGACAAAGCTCCCCCAGGTAGCCCACACGATGCCGTAGGGGCAAGGGGCTCCTCGTCGTAGAGCTGCCTATGAAGGCGTGACGTACCTGGCCATCACCCAGGCAATGCACCCCAAGCTCGGCCGCCTTTGTCTCCCCAGTGGCGATGTTTACACACCGGGTTCCCCATCCGAGGCTGAGTCTACCTAGGGGGGGCACCGCTTCGGTGAATCGCCGGGACTCTACGGCAGTGGTTCGTGAGCGCGAAATCGGCGTAGCAGCGACGCGCTAACCGTTGCGCCACCGCTCCCCTGGAGAGAGAGATGGGGAGAGAGATGGAGAGAGATGGGGAGAGAGATGGAGAGATGGAGAGATGGAGAGAGAGATGGAGAGAGATGGGGAGAGAGATGGGGAGAGAGATGGAGAGAGAGATGGGGAGAGAGATGGGGAGAGATGGGGAGAGAGATGGAGAGAGAGATGGGGAGAGATGGGGAGAGAGATGGAGAGAGAGATGGGGAGAGAGATGGGGAGAGATGGGCAGAGAGATGGAGAGAGAGATGGAGAGAGAGATGGAGAGAGAGATGGGGAGAGATGGGGAGAGATGGGGAGAGAGATGGAGAGAGATGGAGAGATGGAGAGAGAGATGGAGAGAGATGGGGAGAGAGATGGGGAGAGAGATGGGGAGAGAGATGGAGAGAGATGGAGAGAGATGGGGAGAGATGGAGAGAGAGATGGGGAGAGAGATGGGGAGAGAGATGGAGAGAGATGGGGAGAGATGGAGAGAGATGAAGAGAGATGGAGAGAGATGGGGAGAGAGATGGAGAGAGATGGGGAGAGAGATGGGGAGAGAGATGGGGAGAGATGGGGAGAGAGATGGGGAGAGAGATGGAGAGAGATGGGGAGAGATGGAGAGAGATGGGGAGAGATGGGGAGAGATGGAGAGAGAGATGGAGAGAGATGGGGAGAGAGATGGGGAGAGAGATGGGGAGAGAGATGGAGAGATGGGGAGAGATGGAGAGAGAGATGGGGAGAGAGATGGAGAGAGATGGGGAGAGATGGAGAGAGAGATGGGGAGAGAGATGGGGAGAGAGATGGGGAGAGAGATGGGGAGAGATGGGGAGAGAGATGGGGAGAGATGGGGAGAGATGGGGAGAGAGATGGGGAGAGATGGGGAGAGAGATGGAGAGAGATGGAGAGATGGGGAGAGAGATGGGGAGAGAGATGGGGAGAGAGATGGGGAGAGAGATGGGGAGAGAGATGGGGAGAGAGATGGAGAGAGATGGGGAGAGATGGGGAGAGAGATGAGGAGAGAGATGGGGAGAGATGGGGAGAGATGGGGAGAGAGATGAGGAGAGATGGGGAGAGAGATGGAGAGAGATGGGGAGAGATGGGGAGAGAGATGGAGATAGAGAGAGAGATGGGGAGAGATGGAGAGAGAGAGAGAGATGGAGAGAGAGATGGGGAGAGATGGAGAGAGATGGAGAGAGATGGGAGAGAGATGGGGAGAGAGATGGAGAGAGATGGGAAGAGATGGGGAGAGAGATGGGGAGAGAGATTGGGAGAGAGATGGAGAGAGAGATGGGGAGAGAGATGGGGAGAGATGGGGAGAGAGATGGGGAGATGGAGAAAGAGAGATGGGGGAGAGAGATGGAGAGAGATGGAGAGAGATGGAGAGAGAGATGGAGAGAGATGGG